GCAGAGCCCGCTGCAGATCCTCTGTCCCTCTCTCTCTCTGCACCTCCCTGCTCATGCTCTCTCTCTCAAAAGTAAACATTTAAAATTACAGAAGTGAAAAGGAAAAGTAATATAATTTTGCAATTTTAGCTTTACATTTTTAAGTTGCCTATTTTAGTTTTATACACACATAATATTAAAATAAATGCAAAATAAGTGGCAATTACTAACAAGCGCCTACATGATAATTCCCAATGAAATATTTATTCTCATACTTTTTTGTTCTTCGCACTTTGTTTACAAGCCTACATACTCTTAAAGTGATTATGTAGAATGCAACAGTGCTGATTTTACTCTTTTCTACACACAGAAAGCAAATTACGCATATACATATGACAACTTTAAAAGAACATGAAAATGTTATAAGGCAACAAGTATATTAAATTCTCTCTGGGGATGCCTGGGTGGCTCAGTCAGTTAAGCATCCGACTCTGGGTTTCGGCTCAGGTCATGATCTCGCAATTTGTGGGTTTGAGCCCCGCATCTGGTTCTGCACTGACAGCCTGCTTGGGATTCTCTCTCTCTCTGCCCCTCCCCCGCTCATGCTCACTCTCTCTCCCTTTCAAAATAAATTTCTGACACACCAAGGTTTACATATCAATTATAAAAACTAACATAGCTGATGCTTACTGACAGCTTATAACATACAAGGCAGTGTGCTAGGCACATCACATGCCCTTATACCTCTTCATCCAACCCTATGCCGTAAGGGTTCACACTGTACAGGCGAAAAAACTGAGGCTTAGAGATGTTCAATACATGCCTAAGATGACAGTTTGTCTCACACCAAAGTACATGTTCTTAACCAATATATAGTCTTACATCAGAAAAAAACATTTAAGCAATTTTAAAATATTTTTCAGTAGCTCTAAAAGCATCTGCTAAAAAAAATTACTCAATATAATAACAGAAACTCAAATTAAATTTTGAAAGCATACACAAAAATTAGAAGGTACTAGACAAAGCTAAGACATCAACCATTATATCTGACCACGTTTAAACCAGTTTGAGGAAAATCCATCAATTCAGCATAAACTAATTCAAAACCCATAAAGCATTATGTCCTCTTTGAGTACAACTTTATCTCTAGGTATTTTGTTTTCCATTTCATAAAGAGATTTCTAAATCATTTATGACAATAGAAATAAGAAATTATAATATTACAGAATACCAACCAATGCACCAGCTGCATAAAGCATTGCTTGATCATTAAGAAAATCTTTCTTTGCAGTATGATAGCAACTATAAGCCAAATCATAATGCTGCACCAAAAAGCATAAGTCAGCCATTTTTCGGATTTGAAGCTCTGGTGCTTCCGGTGGATACCTATAAATATAAAATGAATTAAGAAAGGAATTTATAATTTATAACCCCTGAACCATCAAATATTACAAAATGTCTAACAAGCTAGACAAGTGAGTCTAAAATATTAGGAAAACTAATCTGATTCAACAAGAATTCTGTCTCCAGTGGGAGACTGTCATTTCTCAAAGACATTTGGAAACATTTGTATTTATATAATTTATAGCCCTATACTGAGAACTTCTCAACAAGAGGCAAGAAATTTTTCCATGGTCAAATTATTAGGCAAATGGTCAATTCTAGGTAACTCACTATACATACAACCACAAAAAAACACAAAAACCCAAAATGAACTTTATTTTCCCTTGAAACAAAATTTTCTAAATATATGCCATGGCTCAGAACCACTAGACCACAATATTTTATTTAGATGAGTTATTAATGAATATTTGTTCTAATTCCATCTTTTTACAAATAGGGAAAGAAACCCAAAGTAAGGGACTTTCTCCATTGTTATTTATTTTTAGATACCCAATTCCCTAATGGTTTAAAAACATTTTTTAATATAATTAACTTATAGTCACTGTTCTTATCTACTGAAGTTTTAACAAATATGAAACTAAAAAACTAAAGAGATAATTTTTTGCAGGACATCACACAGTCACACACCAATCAGAGTTAAACAGAAGAAAAACAAAAACAATAATATTTTACTCACAGCAATCCAGATGTATTTTTCAGCTCATTAATGCTTTTTTCTGGAACTTTACTGCCACTAAACCATTTTTTAGTTGCAGAAAATAGAGATCGACTTAAACCTTTTCTTGATATTAGCTACCAAAAAAAGAGTATACGTTACAAATATGAGATTTAGTATTTTACTTTTACATACAATATATTCTAAATAACTAAAAAGCTTTAATAGTGAGCAAATATTCATTTTAACAACACTGATTTAAAGAAAATTGTCCAATATGCTGGCAAAATCCCTAATGTAAATAAGTATCTTCTAGGATTTAAGAGAATTTCATCACTGACAGTGATGCCAATAAATACTAGCATTAGTCTATCTTAAAAAAAAAAAAAAAAAAAAAAACTTCAAGTACTTTAAATAACTTATACTACTATATTCCCAAATTTACTCTTTACTGAAAATTTAAAAATACTAATCCGAACAATTAAATCTTACCTGATCATTTAATTGCCGAATTGTTTTCTCTATATGTGGCAAAAGGCCCCGAAAAGTGAACTCTTGTATAAACTGTCGAATTCTATCATGATCAGTAAGGGTTAAACATGCACCATGAATAATTCCAGTATTTGCTTTCTTTGTTTCATGTAATGATGAAGCAGATTTTACATGATCTGGGCCATCAATGCTGTTAGAAGCGTCACTGGATGAGTCCAACTGAAGTGGGTGAGCTCTAAAGTTATTTGGTAAGCCATCTACTGAAAAACAGATCTTTCTTTTACTTTCAGAATGCAACAGAAAATTGATATTACTACCATACTGCTAAAGAAAAAAAAAAAAGAATGTTGTAACCCTTCATCTTTCTGTGTATCTCAGAAGTCTAAGATACAATAACATTAACATTTTCCCTCCTAAAACTACAGGACTTGGGTTAATATTTGTTACATGTAATAGCAATTTAAAGATTTTAAATAGGGGAGCCTGGGTGGCCCAGTCAGTTAAGCATCCAATTCTTGATTTCGACTCAGGGCGTGATCTCAGGGTTTAGACAGCACAGAGCCTGCTTGGGATTCTCTCCCACCGCTCTCTCTGCGCCTCCCTCTCCCCACACCTGGCTGGCATGTGAATGCATATGCTCTTTCTCTCAAACTTAAAAAAAATTAGATTCATATAAATAAATGAAGAAAATTACAGTGTTAAAATAATATAACGAATAAATTTAAATAACACAACTAAGCAATAACAAAAATTTTAACAAAACAATTTTAGAGGGGCGCCTGGGTAGCTCAGTCTGTTGAACATCTGACTTCAGCTCAGGTCATGATCTCAAGGTTTGTAAGTTTGAGTCCCGTGTCAAGCTCTGTGCAGACAGCTCAGAGCCTAGAGCCTACTTTGGATTCTGTGTCTCCCTCTCTCTCCACCCTCCTCTGCTCGTGCACTCTCTCTCTCAAAATTAAACATTAAAAAAATTTAAAAAACATTTGTAGAACTATCACTATCAAAAACTGTAATTTAGGGGCGCCTGGGTGGCTCAGTCGGTTAAGTGTCCGACTTCAGCTCAGGTCATGATCTCGCGGTCCGTGAGTTCGAGCCCCGCATCAAGCTCTGTGCTGACCGCTCAGAGCCTGGAGCCTGTTTCGGATTCTGTGTCTCCCTCTCACTCTGACCCTCCTCCATTCATGCTCTGTCTCTCTCTGTCTCAAAAATAAATAAACGTTAAAAAAAAAAAATTAAAAAAACAACAACTGTAATTTAAAATACAGAAATAAAGCTCTCAAAATCATGTCAACTTTGGGAATAATTAATGCTGCACACAGTACCTTCCCCCTTGCCTCCTAAAAAATTTTTAAAAGAAATAGTATATATTACTCTCGGTAAACAAATTTTTAAATGTCAAAAAACGTCAAACTCAAATGACTCAAAAAACTCTTCAAAGGAGAAGCCCATTTTATTTTTATTATGAAAATTTCCCCCATCTTTTATCTATGAAGATTAGCATGCTTTGACAACAGTGCAGATTTTCAACTAAAAGAGAAACTTAGAGAAAGTATATCAAGACCTTTGACTTCGTTATCTAATCCATCCAATGAAAGCAAGTTACTATCAGAATTCTTATTTGAAGTTATAGTACAAGGGCCATCTTCATATGATTCCTATCAAAATAAAATAAAAAAGCATTAGCAGTTAGTTAATTAATCATATTTAAGATATCACCAAGTCCATCAACAACTGTGGTTTTTCTGCTGACTATATGCCTCATTTATTTGTTTTAGCAAGACACTTTCTTTTTAGTCCTCCAAATTCTTAATTTCTTTCATATATTTTATCATTCTAATCCACACCTACTATATTCCTAAACGCCCTTTCACGTTCAATCTACTATCCTAATTCTTCTGAATTCAAATGATCTCTACCTCAGTTTACCTGTTTATATGTAATAAGTACATGAATACCTGCAGAGTTGTCTGAAGTAAGAAATAAATGCCAAGAGAGAAGGACTACTAGAGTCAGGCAGGGGAAAATAAGAGGATGGTATGAAATCTCCTGGGTTATGGACATGTGTTAACAGGTTGGAGTAAATTCTGAATATATCACAGTGCATTAGAAATATATCCAATGCAATGTTTATTTGTACAAAGGCACTGGTTTCTCAGTCACAAAACAAACTTAAAATAAAAATACCCAGACTAATTTGAGGTATTATTCTGAGTGTCATGCTTTGAGGGAAATTACAAACTAGTACTTAATAAGATAAAAGCGATCAGGACAAGAAACTGCCACTCAAGAAAGAGTTGAAAAAAGTGGTTATATTTAGCCTGGTAAATACAGAAGGGGACACAAAAACTATCCTTCTACATTTTGAAAGGTGACTTAATGAAAAACTGGTCCCAAAGGACCAAGGAGTATAAGCTAAGGGAGATAATTTTTGGTTGATCCTCCAGCTGTTCAGACATGAAGAGAGTACTAGATGAGGTTATTCATAGGTAAAGGAAATTAAAACAGATAAGGGGTTAGGTTTGATAAGCTTTAAAACTATCCTCCAGGAGTGCCTGGATGACTCAATCTGTTAAGCGTCAGGCTATTGATTTTGGTTCAGGTCAAAATCTCACAGTCGTGGGATTGAGCCCTGCATCAGGCTCCATGTAGAACCTGCTTGAGAGTGTCTCTCTCTCTCTCTCTCTCTCTCTCTCTTGCTCTCTGCCCCTCTCCCCTGCTTGCTCTCTCAAAATAAAAAATAAAAACAATAATAAAAAATAAAAAAGCTATCCTCCAATCCTGGCATCTAGCTATAGAATTTCTGATACCTCTGTCTTCTTTAAAAGTTCTCAAACTGGTCAATTTGACTTATGTTTCCCTTCCTTAGAATGACTGGACTCTAAATTCCATTTTTGGGGGGCGCCTGGGTGGCTCACTTAGTTAAACATCTGACTCTTAATTTCAGCTCAGGTCATGATGTCACAGTTTGTAAGATTCAGCCCTACATCGGGCCCTGCACTGACAGTATGGAGCCTGCTTGGGATTCTCTCTCTCCCTCTCTCTCTCACTGCCCGTCCCCTGCTTGCTCACACACCCTTTCTCAAATAAACACTAAAAATAATAATAAATTCCATTTTTCAATATTGTCCCTATTCTGAGCGTGGCCCTGAAAGACCATTTTTTTAAATAAAACTCCTTCATATGCAACTGGTTTTTCTTTTTTCTCACTTTTTCCCAGCATTTTCTTAAAGTGAGTAAATATCAGTATAACACTATATTTGGATCAAAAATTCCATATATTACATAGAAAAATAAGGCAAACAGATTATTAAACAATATTTATATTAAGACATCAAAAATCACAAACTTTATAATTGTTATTTTAAAAAGAATATCATAGAGTACCCAATGTAATTCAAATGTACAGAACACAACTATATTTTCATTCACTTACAAAATCCCCCTTCTACACACACACACAGAAAAGTCAACTCCTGATTATCTGAACTAAACATGGGAACTTCATATTTGACTACTACCAAGTGGCATACAATTCTATCTTAGAAGTTCAACAGACCATGAAACCTTATACCTACCCACTTCAACTAATAGGCAATTAACATTAGACTAGGACTCTAGATTAAGAAAGGAGAAAATTAGGAAGAAATAACACTTCCTGAAAATTCAGAAGGAAAGGAAATCAAAGGAAAGTTAGGGAAAAAAGCCCACCCACCTAAAAAGTATGAGCTCCAAAAGGTGGCCATAAGAACAGCATGTTGAAAATGAAGGAAGGCAACCCCAGAGCATGTGGATAATAAAGAATTGACTGTAAGCATTCATAAGGAATTATATGTACAAGTAAAAACTTCTATTCTCTACATGTCTAGCCAATCTCATTCAATTCTTATGTAATTCACTTTTCATTTTTTTAAGAAAAGATCAATTAATACGGATATTATATACCTGAATGGAATACATATAAGGGATTATGTGTTAGTTAAAAAGTTTTAAACCACTGAATTAAGAGCTCACATGCTGATAGATCAGAACTAGCTAGATTCCACAAAATAAATAAACAATTCTACTAGTTAAACGAAGACTTAAAAAATTCTACAGTGATGCCATTATGTCATAAAACTGAAATACAGCTTTTGTGGTTTGCTTCATGGTTGTTTTTTTACATATACCTGGTTTTGAATACTATTTTTCTGAAGATACTGACTCCAAGGATCTGGTATCTGTTCATCTGATGCTCGATTAGATGTTCGAGAATTAATTTTAAGTAAATAGCAACCCTGAGTTCCATATTTCTGTTTCATTTCTTCATAAATTGATTCGGCTCTAAAATAAAAAATGGAAAAAAGTTTGTAGTAAATGGAGAGCATACCTTAGGCAATAACAGATATTAAAATAATGCAAAAATAATCCCCAAAAAAGGCAGGACAGATAAGCAGATATAAAATAGTAAAAAAATTAAAACAAAGATCATGACCCTAACTGAAATTTAGCTAGCTTGGATATCACCTTAAAGCAGAGTTAACAAAATGTGCTTCAACGGTCAAAGAGACCATTCTGGTGGTCAAACTAGTTGAACTACAGTAAACAAAACCAGCAGACCACCTCCAAGTCTTCCATTTACTAATGTGAACTGTAAATTTCCAAAAAATGGCTTCAAACTTCTAGATCAAGAACTCTTTCAACTGTAAGTACCAGGCTTTAGGGAAGAAGCTTTTGGAAATTCCATCTGAGAAAACAAACATTTATCAAAAAACGTAGGCGCCGAAACAGAAAAGTATAGCACCCCAAAATTTATAAAACATCTTTCACTGCTACAGATTATCCTTCCCTTAGCTGTCTTCAAAGGGACACAGTTCAAAGACAGAAAAGGAAAGAAAACTCAAAAAGAGCAGCTGACTTATTTATTACATAAAATCCACCCTTTTTTCTTGCAAAATTTATAATAGCTGAATCCATGAGTTACATCTTAGATGCAATAAAAAGTAGTTTTATTGCCATAGTTTAAGTTAACTAAGCTATGCTAGCTGGTAGTGATAACACAGCCTAGGAAGCAAACAGCATATTCTGATGAAAACTGAAATTTTAGTACATAGGGCTAATCTAATTTAAATGGTATCTTTTTAAGTCAATCAGCCATCTGGGGGGGGTGAGGGGGGAAGAGAAAAGTTTGTATTATATTTAAATGCAAAAGATAATACTATACAAGTAACATGCCTGCCAGACTACCGAATCATATTTACACACTATAAAATTAAGGCTGGATTAATAAAAGTTATAAATGTATACAAGCAGATATAAGTATATGTATGTGTATATACACTCAAGTACAATAAAATAAACTGCTCACTTTACCAGTGATACTGCTAAAGATATGAACCACTGATCTAATACCTGAATTACCACTTAAATATCCTAGTTACAACCCTTCAATATGAAAGATACATATCATATTCTATAGATAGAAACTAATTTTAATAGCGAGTTCAAATTATTTCTATTTACATAGTATACTTCATCCACAGGCTACAGCCTGTTTATGATTTCAGAAAAAATCCTAAATATTAATTATTCCTCAGAAAAGTTCTTTGGTTATAAAGGAAAATTTATGGGGTGCCTAGCTAGTTCAGTCAGTGGAGTATACGACTCTTGACATTGGGGTTGTAAGTTCAAGCCCCACGTTGGGTGTAGAGACTACTTAAAAATAAAATCTTTCAAATAAATTAATTAAAATAATAAATACGTAAAAGGAAAATTTATTTAAAAGGTAATGATATGTGCTCAAAACAATGGCAAGAAATGATTATTTGATTGTATATCCTAAATGGCACTGATTTATCAGACTGACAATTTTAAACAAAAAATTAATTTGATCCACATCCCAAATCAAAAGTCAAAATAAACTCCAAAATCATAAAAATAAAATTGCTTTTTATGTTATCTTATTTTTTAAGAACTTACTATATTTTTAAAGATAAGTTAATCATTTGTTCCAAAGATAAAAGGACTACGGCAAATCACTAATAATGAATATTAAAGGACATGTAAGAAATGTCTGGGGACACCTGGGTGGCTCAGTCACTAAGCATCTGACTTCAGGTCAAGTCATGATCTCATAGTTTCTGAGTTCAAGTCCCGCTTTGGGTGAGCTCGAGCACCACTTCAGGTGAGCATAAGGGGAGCACAAAACCCTGCTTCAAGGTGAGTTCAAGCCCCAGGTGAGGCCCACTTCTCTCTCTCTCTGCCCTTCGCTCACGCTGTGCCCATTCTCAGAAGGAAAGACAGAAAGAAAGACAGACACAAAGGAAGGAAGGAAGGAAGGAAGGAAGGAAGGAAGGAAGGAAGGAAGACAGATGGACAGAAAGAGAGAAAGAGAAAGAAAGAAAGAAAGAAAGAAAGAAAGAAAGAAAGAAAGAAAGAAAGGAAGGAAGGAAGGAAGGAAGGAAGGAAAGGAGAAGAGAAGAGAAAATAAAGAAATGTCTGCATGTTTTTGAGACTATGAAAACATCAAGGCTAAAAATACAAAGTGACAATAGGGTAAAGAGTGGAAACAGAAATGCCCTTAAAAAAGTCAAGAAGTGAAAAGTTAAAAGGAAAACTGAGAAAAGAAAAAAAAAATGAGAAAGTAAGAAATAACAGCTAAGACCTACAAGTGTAAAATGGCAGGCACTTTGGTACAAAGATTGTAGTAACAGATATATATTGAAAGCAAAGTTTGGATAAGCATATGAAATCTAACATAAAATAACTTAGCTGTTGAACATAACAAAGATATAGTTAAATGTTTTATTAGTATTTTTACTTTCTTAGATAAAAAAAATACATCTAAAATTTAAATAAAACGTGCAAACTAATATCTAATCATATAACAGGGAAAAACTTTTAGTTAAAAAAATAAAGCTTAGGGGCACCTGGGTGGCGCAGTCGGTTAAGCGTCCGACTTCAGCCAGGTCACGATCTCGCGGTCCGGGAGTTCGAGCCCCGCGTCAGGCTCTGGGCTGATGGCTCAGAGCCTGGAGCCTGTTTCTGATTCTGTGTCTCCCTCTCTCTCTGCCCCTCCCCCGTTCATGCTCTGTCTCTCTCTGTCCCAAAAATAAATAAAAACGTTGAAAAAAAATTTAAAAAAAAAAAATAAAGCTTACCTCTGTTCATCTCCTGCACTTACATCATGTAAAAGTACATAATATTTAAGTGTATTTGGTATAAACCACTTGGGGTAGGAATAGTCACTGTTGTGCTGAATTCGATGCTGTTCTTGTGATAACTTTGAAAACTGTTCCACAGGTTCAGCTTCACTAGACGATGCTACCAACATACCTTGTAAACCATATTAAGGTAATTATCACTTATCACTAAATGATACATATTATCCTATTAAAATAAACTTTGAGGAAATTTTCTAAGCTAAAAAATCTGATTTCATAGATTTTCACTGCAAACACAAAATAATTTCTCCAGCATTTCCAAATAACTCAAGGTTTTAAATCTCAAATACTTTTTTGACGATGGTTTTTAGGTCATTCACATATATAAGGAAATCCATGAACATAAAAATGGACAATATCAAAGTTACACATCAGCACAATGAACAATTCTGCTGAATCTTGCTCCTCTCCATTCCATCTCACAGCGGTTTCATACTCTATCCTACCTCTTAACTTTCTCTGCAACCTCATTAAGAAAACTAAAAAGTCATAAGCATCAAAAGAGGTTAACAGCTATAAAACAGGTTACTAAAATAATGGAAAACTGCTTTTATATATGAGATCTTGCATAAGAAACTAATCTTGAGGCAATCAGCAAAAGCAGTTAACAATGACAGTTCACATTTACTCTTTGGTTCAGAAACTTACTAAACATGAAATATTTGAGCTGGAGAAAAAAGAAAAACAGTAAGTAAGCCATCAGTATTCTTACTCTGTAATAAAAATTAATTTATTAAAACCAGTCTTGTCGAGGATGTCATTTTACAAAAACAACAGTTACAAAAACTTGAAGCATCATCAATGAAAAATAATTTTTCTATTCTCCCATGTCCTCTCAAAAAATTTGCCTTCATAGGGGACACCTGGGTAGCTCAGTTGGTTAAGGGTCCGACTTCAGCTCAGGTCATGACCTCGCAGTCTGCGAGTTTGAGCCCCGCGTTGGGCTCTGTGCTGACAGCCCAGAGCCTGGAGCCTGCTTCAGATTCTGTGTCTCCCTCTCTCTCTCTGCCCTTCCCCCGCTTGCACTCTCTCAGAAATATACATTAAAAAAAAAAATTAAATATTTGCCTTCATAGAACTATTTCTGAGATTACTAATTTCCAAAACATTTGATTTTAAGAAAACACAAAGGTCAGGGGGCACCCAGGTGGTGCCCAGGTGGCTCAGTCAGTTAAGTGTCTGACTTCGACTCAGGTCATGACCTCATGATTTGTGAGTTCAAGCCCCGTATCAGGCTCTGTGCTGACAGCTCAGAGCCTGGAGCCTGCTTCGGATTCTGTGTCTCCCCCTCTCTCTGCCCTTCCCACGTTCATGCTCTGTCTTCTCAATAATAAACGTTAAAAAATTTAAAAAAAAAAAAAAAAAAAGGAAAGGAAAGAAAACACAAAGGTCAGGCACCTGGGTGGCTCAGTCGGCTAAGTATCTAACTCTTGATTTCAGTTTGGGTCAAGATCTCACCGTCGTGAGATCAAGCCCTGCTTCGGGCTCTGCACTAAGGGAGGAACCTGCTTAAGATTCTCTCCCTCCTTCTCCCTCTGCCCCTTCCCTACTTGTGTACTCGTGCGCCCTCTGTCAAAAAATAAAAATAAATTAAAGAAAAAAGAAAACACAAAGGTCAAAGGATACATGCTAAATAGTGGTTCAGAAATTCATGATCTGATGCTGGCATCGACTGAAGAAAGGTCTCTCTGTAAGACTCAAACCATGGAGTGGTAGCTAAAATAAACAAGATATACAACAGTTAAAATTCCTTAACAGAATCAATTTACAACAAAAAAATGTCAAGTCCATACCCCTAAAAGGTGTGAAAGATTCCCAACAGTAAATAAGCATTTTTCACTTGTACTTAAAGATATAAACAAGCATTTTCTACCTCTGCTTTAAAACTAGTGTCTGTGCCATACATACAAATATATTCACATATAGGAATATACATTTGCAAAAATAAAACTGACTTATTCCTAAACCTACACAATGATCCACAATCTACTTACCTATTAATCCTTTAAATATTACCTACATGAGTAAAAAGATTCTGAAACTAAAGTTTGTGCCCCTCTCCTCTTCATAAACATCATTTCAAAACAATGGTTTCTTAACCAACAGTGATTTTGACCTCCAGGAAATATTTGGCAATGTCTGGAGATACTTTGGGTTGTCACACTAGGGATGGGGTTGTGTGCTACTGACTTCTAGGCAAATACGTCCAGAACAGTGCAAAACATCCTACAATGAACAGAAGACAGCTCCCCACAAAAAAGAATTATGTGGCTCAGAATGTCAATAGTGGTAAGGTTGACAACATCTACTTTATAATTTGATTACTTGAGTATGACAATAACAAAACTTCTTTAAATGAAATTTCAAAGTATATTTACCTTGTAATCAAATATAAGGAGGTGTGTTTTCACATTTTTATAAATGTATATAATGTAATTCTTAAAATGTCAAACCTCTCTTGCTCCATGCTAAGCATTTTACAACTACTCTTTATTTGTTTTTAAACTAACTTACAATTAAGTCATTAGGTCATTTCACACGGTTTAAACAGATTATATAAATCACAGTTTTACTAAAGGACATTCTATTCCTAGCTATTTATGCCGACTACCAAAACTTTCACCTCAATCACTGAAAAACCTAATATACTTTGTTCACATTATAATACTACATTAACCAACTGGAAGGTAAAGGGGAAAAAAAACCATTCAATCTTGGCCAAATAGTAGTATCTAACCTGGTGCCATATATAAACATATAAAATTTTAATTCCAACAAATACCTTATGAGAATAACCCATATATTGTTTAGGAGGGCTATCAATGTAACAATTTCATGTTCATTGCTATGAGAGAAAAAGCTTTCTTAGAAATACCATAATCTATATGAAAAGTGACAAAAATTGGAGAATAAATGACAATACTAGCCAATGTTATAACCCATTTTCTTTCTAACCAACCAATAACCTATATCTTCCCCCAAAATCAGTCAAAATTAGTCTAGCTATAAAATTAATATGTATTTTCACTTAGCACCAAGGACAAGAAAATAAAATAAAAGATAATGAAAATTTGGTTAAATAGGAAGGAATCTTCAGACATGGGGAAATGATGTTCTGTATCTACCAAGCTACTTTAACAGACTGTTAAAAAACAAACAGACATAAAACAGCCTCCCCCCCCCCCCCCCCCCCATTTTACAGATAGTCAGACATCAGACTTGAGCATCTTTCTCTGGAGAAATGAAATGGCCCCAAATAAAAGAACCATAAGTATTGGGCAACTCTAAAGCCTATTCACAGCCTCACCACCCAGTACAGAAGTCCACTAGATAACAAGAGTTTATTATGCCCAGCAGGGCGTTTAATTCTCAGTTTGAAATAGAAAATAATGCCACAGGCTCAGCAGATATGTGAGAAAAGTTTCCAATGTGAAAAAGTGACCAAAACAAACTGAAAAAAATAATACAAATGAGAGGAAAACACAGGATAAAAGAAAACTTAAATACTAAAAGAAGCCAACAACAATTTATTAATTTCCTGAATTAAAATACCACAACATGACACAAGAACTGCCCAGTACAAATAGGAAAACAAAGAGAGCAAGGCAAAGTTTCAAAAAAAAAACAAACCACATACACACACAATAAACGTTAAAATTTCAACAGAAGGTTAGGAAAATAAAGTCAGAGATAAAGATATCACCCAGAAAGTAAAACAAAAAGACACAGAGCTGTAAATGAACAATATTTATAAAAAAAGGAAAGAACACTAAAGGAGCAACTGAGAAGTTCTACATCCAATTAACAAGTAGTTCCAGAAAGAACAGGGAAAAACAATGAGGAAGAAATTAACCAAGAAACAGTATAAAAAAATTTGTCAAGTTTAAGAGTATGTATGCCCAGGGCACCTGGGTGGCTCAGTCGGTTGGGCGGCCAACTTTGGCTCAGGTCATGATCTCACTGCTGGTTCGAGCCCCGCCCGCATAGGGCTGCGCTGACAGCTCGGAACCTGGACCCTGCTTCGGATTCTGTGTCTCCCTCTCTCTCTCCACCCCTCCCCTGCTCATGCTCTGTTTCTCTCTCTCTCTCTCTCTCAAAAATAATAAATCATTAAAAAAAATTTTTTTAACAAAAGAGTATGTATGCCCAAATTATCAAAAGGGGCTGCTGATACGAGTGAAAAAAAAAAGTTAAATTAGGCCCAAAATGAAACTTCAAAACAGAGATAAAGAGGCTCTAAAAGCTTCTGAAGGCTGGAGGGAATGAGGGGATAGGTATCCTAATGTCATCCAGCTTCTTTACAGCAATACCAGAAACTGAAAGTGGAATAAATCTGAAGGAAATTATTTCCAACAATATATATAGCCAAACTATCAAATATAAAAGCTAAAAGCATTTTCAGACATTAATTGGCTCAAAAACTTTACCTTCCAAGTGACCTTTCTCAGGAAGCTACTGGAGATGTCCTTCACCAAATTAAGAAAATATACCAAAAAAGATAAAACTGAGAGTCTACGGAGAAGAGAAAGGAAGGAAATCCCCAGGCTGACAGTTGTGGAACAGACCTTGAAAAGTAACTAGTCCAAGGTGCAGCAGAACAGTGTTTCACAACTTTTATTTTGTAATCTCCCCTATGAGACTTTTAGACGTTTCTAATTAGTCTTCACAGATATATACATGTACCGTGCACCTATTTATGTACCATGGTCCTTTGGAGAGTCACAAACCATTGTAATATCTAGGATTTTTGCACCACTGAGAACCAAATTTTCTCCCCCACTGACAGATGATATCATTCCTCACTAAGAATGCAGAGAGAAAACTTCAGGAAGGAGATCCTGATAAACAGATTATCTGATAAATTAATGTCAATCATGAAATCTTATCAAGAGGCTACTGGAAGTTTAAAAGACTAGGAAGAGATACAAAGAACTCTAAGCAAGTTTGCTTTTCAAAAAGGCAATTGGGGGAGCGCCTCCTAGGTGGCTCAGTTATGCATCCAACCTCGGCTCAGGTCATGATCTTGCAGTCTGTGAGTTCGAGCCCCGCGTTGGGCTCTTTGCTGACAGCTCAGAGCCTGGAGCCTGCTTCGGATTCTGTGTCTCCCTCTCTCTCTGCTCCTCCCCGCTCATGCTCTGTCTCTCTCTCTCAAAAATAAAATAAACATTAAAAACAATCTTTTTAATAAAAAATTAAAAAATAAGCTCTACAAAAAATTAAATATTTACTCATATATTAGAAAAATGTCTTCAACTTAACACCAAGCAGGATAAAAAGTAAAATAAACTTAATTCTTTTCATTTTAGTATCACTTATGTCACAAAAGAATATATTGCTTTTTATCTACTGCTAGTTCTTTCATTCAAGATTTATCATGCATAAGTTTTAGGCATTACTTTAAGTACTGGAAAGAAAATAAAGAGCCAAAGTTCCTGTCCTCATGGAGCCTTCTATTAACTTTACAATTAGAACTATAAAAACATTTTCATTATAAAAAAATAAAATGAAATGATGTAATTCATAGTTGGCTGTCTACTTGACTATAATCTCTGTAAAAGCAAGGATTGGTTTTTTACAATACTGTATTCCCAGGCTCTAGCACCCAGTAGGCATTTATGATTTCCAAGATACAGAATTACTTTTTCTAACAAAAGAAAATTTCATTTAAATTGTAGTAATAAAACTTACTACATACCACTGATGTTGAGGTCATAATCTCCTGCTGTAATCACATTAGCTACTAATCCTTCCGCAGGCTGACTGCCAGAAACAACATCATTCAAAAGCTTCCGAATGGCTCCGGGTTGAGGTGGTTGGGTGATAATGTTGCTTACTGCTATCTTCAGATTTTTGATTATGTGAAGTTGATTATTAGGATCTCTCATATGAACTTAAAAAAAAAAGGAAAAAAACTTGAAATTAATCCTACACAATAACAATCCAACAATAAACAATTGGGTTAATAGTTTACAAAAAGAATGCACAAATCAAAAACCAGGAATTCCAAGTGGAAGTCTTCCAGAAGTACAACACAACTGACTTACTTATATACCAAGAGGGCTAGGTAGAGTCTAACCTTCTCCCTCAATGCTACTACTCAACAACTTTGCTATTTGTAGGTCCTTTCCTTCCCCCTATTTTCTGGAGTTGCCAGGAACCAATCCCCATCTATATCAAATCCCTAATTCTCACTCACCCTAAGGGCAATCCCCAGGCAGTGTGACCTATGAGATCTGTAGTATCAATGCTGAAAATAGTAAAGGGGAAGAAAGGGGAATTAAGTGCTGCATGTGGGTTTCCTCTGCTTCTCCTAGTATACTGCCTGCATTCTCAGCCCTATTCTACCATCACAAAACTCAGGGCCCACCCCGGAGCAAGATGTTGATAGTAGTAAGGCTATGTTCTGGAACATAAGGTATATGAAAACTCTATATTCTCTGCTCAACTTCACTATGAACCTAAAAAAGAAAGTCTGCTCTAAAAAAGAAAGTCTACTTTAAAAAAACAAAAACAAAAAGAAAATGCCCAGATCCCTTCCCCCACCCCAAAACCCTGACTCCACCCTGCTATAGGCCTTGCCAAGGTGACAGGATTTATAACCAGTGTTTCAGAACTTTAGGTCAGGGGATAGGTTTGCAGGGGACTGTTAACAAGACGGTGTCCACAGTGCACAGCAGGAAATGTGAACGTATTCTTTTCACATAAATATAATCAAAGAAGATCATTAGTTTCCATAACAGTATTAAAAGCAGTCCATTATATTAAGGACTCAACTTTTTATTTTTTTTTTTTAACGTTTATCTATTTTTGAGACAGAGAGAGACAGAGTATGAACGGGGGAGGGTCAGAGAGAGAGGGAGACACAGAATCTGAAACAGGCTCCAGGCTCTGAGCCATCAGCACAGATGCCTGACGCGGGGCTTGAACTCATGAACCGCGAGATCATGACCTGAGCTGAAGTCGGACGCTTAACCGACTGGGCCACCCAGGCGCCCCTGGACTCAACTTTTAAAGTCAGACTTTACTTTAAATCCTAGCCCACCACATGTTTTCCTAAAAACTTTTCAACTTTTCTATGCTTCAATTTCCTCATCTATAACATGTAATTAATGCCTTCTTCAAAGGGTTACTTTAAGAATTTAGATGAGATATCGTTAGATGAGACAATTAAGTGAAAAGCACTGAGCACCAAACCTGACATATACATAACTATATAGTTAGGTGCTTAAGAAAAAATGAAAGCAGCAGGTATCACACACATTCAAGTACAGCATGGATCATCATTTTTAAATAAGAGGCAAACTGGAAAACTGGCTTTGGATACCTACCCATTAAAAAAAAAAAAACAACACTTTTTTTCCTCAGAGGAGAATCTTTACATCAAACTTTTTTTTTTTAAGTTTATTTATTTATTTTGAGAGTGTGTATGTGTGTGTGTGTGAGAGAGAGAGAGAGAGCAGGAAAAGGGCAGAGACAGGGAGACAGAGAATCCCAAGCAGGTTCCACACTGTTAGCATGGAGCCAGACGTGGGACTCAAACCCACCAACCGTGAGATCATGATCTGAGCCAAAATCAAGATTCAGACACTTCACTGACTGAGCCTCTATATGAAGCCCATATTTTAAAATAAAGTTACATCAAATGTCTTCCTAAAATTTCCTATGTGTCCTCTCTGTTGACTTCTCAAGTTTTAATTAACATAAGACGATAATCTTTTAAAAATACTACATATGGCATAAATATGTACACTTGTATTATAAAAATAAATATATGTATAGAAAGTATACATGCAGGGGCACCTGGGTGGCTCAGTCAGTTAAGCGCTCGACTTTGGCTCAGATCACGATCTTGCGGTTCATAAGTTCAAGAACCGCGTCAGGCTCTATGCTGACGGCTCAAAGCCTGAAGCCTGCTTTGGAATCTGTCTCCCTCTCTCTCTGCCCCTCCTCTGCTCACGCTCTGTCTCTCTAGCTCTCTCAAAAATAAACATTAAAAAAATTAAAATTAAAAAAAATTTTTAATTAAAAAAAGAAAGTATACATTTAAGTTCCATTATGACTGGCTATGATTAAAAAAGGAAGAAAGGAAAGGGAACCTCAACTGTATAATATTTGATTTCTTTTTAAAGAAAAGGAAGAAATACAATGTAAATGTAATAAGATTAATATTAGTTGGTTCTGGGTAGTGGGAAGCTTAGTAGGAAATTCTCTGAATTCTTCAATAATTGTTTGTTTTCTAATTTAAATAAACACACAGAAGCCTTTTTCCCTAATTAAATTTCCCAGCTGGTCTAACTATGAAATAGAGAAAATGAAAAGCATGAAAATACTATGCTGCATTTCTGATATATTTTAGAAAATACTGTACAAGTATTCTTCCTAAAGTTGGTCTCTAATTGTCAAAAAACATAAAAGTGTCTCTCAAAATTTTAAACTGGCTAATTACTGTTAGTATCAACACAAAAAAGTGTCAACACAAAAAAGACATTCTAGGGTCGCCTGACTGGCTTAGTCTGTAAAGCACATGACTCCTGGTCTCAGAGGTCATGAGTTTAAGCCACACGTTTGGGGTAGAGGTTACTTTAAAAAAAAAAAAAAAAAAAAAAAAAAGACATTCTAGTTTTGCCCATATTCAGAATGAGTTTATCATTTATTAGGTAATCCTACTAATAAATCCAGAAATGAGTTAACAGATGTGACAGCCAGCCTCTGAAACAGTCCCCAATAATCCTGTATTTTGAGTTATGCACACACTTGTGTAATCCCTTCCCACCCAGGGTTGTTATATGTGCCCAACAGAACACAGCAAAAACAAGAGTACATCATTTCTGAAATAAGGTTATGAAAGAGTACAGGGTCTATCTCGGGTGCACTTTCATCACTCCCTCTTAGCGAAACTAACTGCCGTGCCATGGGGATACTCAAGGAGCCTATGGAAAAGCCTACACTGCACACAACAGAGATCTCAGGAAAACATCTAGTGAGGAAGTGAGACTTGCCAACAACCACATGAGTGAGCTTGGAAGCAGATCCTCCAGCCCCGATGACTACGGTCTAGGCTGACAGTACCACTGCAACCTCAAGAGAGACCCTATCCAAGAGAGACCCTGGGACAGAACTACCCAGCTGAGCTACTCCCAGATTCCTGACAAACTGAGAGACAAGAAATGCTTTTGTCCCCCCTAAAGTGCTTAATTTTGGAGTAATTTGTTATACAACAACAGAGAAGTAAAACACTGGAATATCCCAAAACTAACCTAATAAAGAGGAAGATAAGAGCTAAGAATGATTAAAAGAAATACTCTGAAAAAACTCACACAGTTCTAAAGCTTGGCTTCATTAAGAGTATATCACAAAAGGTGACATCATAATCACATGACATCTCAATTTCAAAATGAAATTCAGCTCTACCATTGTCTTACTTTTACAAGTTACCATATAAATATAATTTTTTTGTTGTTTTATATAAGTAACCTCTACCCCCAACATGGGGCTCGAACTCACGACCCAGAGATGAAGACTTGCATGCTTTTCCAACTGAACCAGCCAGGTAGTCTCATAAATATAATTTCTTGAATACTGTATTATGAAGTAACATTTCCCAGTATGTGCAGGTCCACAGACTACTGTTTCCTCAAGCTAATTAAGAGTTGTTTCAGAAAAATCAATTTCATGTTCAAATAATTTGAGAAACATAGGATTAAGTTTTTAAAAAGTCTCTTTATACCAGGTCTTCCCAGAGCCTTTAATGTGCTCAATGACACTGTAATTCTCCCGAACACATGCTATTTGAAGCAAACTTATTTGATCATAAAACTCATTTGCAGGGCATGTATAAAACATTGGGTGTCCTATGGAATATATTTTTAAAAATGATAATATCTTCTATGTTTTTACCTAGCACACGAGACTTTACTATATACAGGAAACCTGAATTGCTGGAAAAATAATCATAACTTGTACAAAAATGACACAAACAACATATGTATCTAAATTTTAAGGGGTGCCTGGGTGGCGCAGTTGGTTAGGCCATCTGACTTCGGCTCAGGTCATGATCTCATAGTTTGTGAGTTCAAGCCCTGCATCAGGCTCTATGCTAACAGCGTGGAGCCTGAAGTTTGCTTTGGATTCTGCGTGTCCCCCTCTCTCTGCCCCTCCCCCGCTCACACTCTGTCTCTCAAAAATAAAATAAAAACATTAAAAAAAAATTTAAATTTTGAAACTTCACTTGAATTCATCCAAAGTTTGGTACTTGAAAAACTTGTAGGTTAATTATCTAGTCACACTAACATGGTAGTTAAAATTAATAAAATATATCCTTTTAAAGAAAACTAGAGGCAATAAGTTTCCTTCAAAGGTCCTTTAGAAAATATTCAAGATTTACACTGAAGATTTACATTCTGTTCTTTTTAAACCCTTAAGTAAATTTACTCCAGTTAAAAATAATACTTTTTGAAAGTGACAGTCAAGTACTTTCAAAAGTTGATGTTTAAGTGAAATTTTCTTAAGTCTTATAAATGTCTAAATGATATGCTGAAATACTGTTTAAAATTACTGAAGAACTATCACTATGACAGCAGGAACAGTGAAGTCTGATTAAGTAATACTACCACCACTATTCTTTGAAATAGATGGCCAGTAGAAATTTCTCAAGCAATATTAAGATTACAAACTTTGTGTTGAAATGACGAATATATATTCTTTTAGGTCTCAAACATATATATAGCATAACGATAAGAAAAATATATATACTCACCATTACTTAATATAAAGAAATACTTGTTGGATTTTAAAACATGTATCCAAGAAATCTAGAATGGCTCTCCACTGACTAATACATCAAGTCTAAACTCTTTTTTTTATTATTTTTATTTAAACTCTATTT